TGACCATGAAAGGATTGGAAGCGAGAAGTAGTTTATGATGGAATCAAAATTTAAAAGACTGTGAGCAGCCATTGGAGACGCAACTATTGGTGCTTTTCATCTGAAGTGAAGAGAATGAAAGAAATCGGAGTCAAGGATGCTCTAGACTAGAGGAGATGGACACACGCAAACCACAGCCTCCCCTGGTCTGAGGACAGAAGAACTAGATGATGCACAGCTCAACTCAACTCAAACCATTGCCACCAACTCATCGGGGACCTTCAAGTGGGTTTCTGAGATTGTAAATAGCATGGGAGGAGAATGAGCATTTCCTCCCACAGAGGGGTTGGTAGATTGGAGCCCCTAATCAGGCATGACCTTTGAGTTAGCAATGAACCTCCCTATGGACTATGGCACCAGGGCTCCCACCTCTACCAACCACTCTAGACACAGTAGAAGATCCTAGTTAGCACAGGAGAACAATACAAAACAAAACTCAAATTCATAAAACAAAGACCAAGCCCCTGGTACCATCACCCTAAGACATCCTTTCACCTAAGAAGTGAAGTTATGTGTGGAGCTCACATTCTAGCCAAATTATGCTATGCACTGTGGAGTCGGAACTGACTCATAACTGACCCACTAGAAGGTTTTCAGAGGCAGTAAATCCCACGGGAGGGGATTACCCATCTTTTTCCAGAAGAGTAGATAGTGGATTTGAACTTCACACCTTTGCGTTGGCAGAGCGGTCACCCTGCCAAAGAGATTGAGTCTGTAAAACAGTAACACCATTGAGGAATGTACTTTGTAGAAAAATCAACTATGCAAGACAAAACAGGCAACATTTGCCCAAAGGCAAAGGTTAGAAAGCAAGGTAGAAGAGGTTGGGGGTGCAGGGGAGGCAGGGAAACCAGAGGGACAAAAATAGAGAAAGCAATTTGGAAATGGGGAGAATAATGACACATTGCGAGACTAGGAACCAGTGTCTAGGAACGAGGTATGTATAAATTGTTTAATGGAAATGGGCTGTGTAAACTCTCACCTAAAATATGGTAAAATGTTCAAAAAAGCCAAATCTTACTCTGTTAAGACCAACAAATCCAAGCCTTTTTGTGGACAGAAAGTATATATGGCCTGAACTGCTAATGCTCACGCCATAACGGATTCATCAAGGCCAACGCGAGCATAGCCCAGAACCCCCAGAACCTTTTTATACATGTCCCACCCCACCTGACTCAAAAATAAAAATCACTGCCTTTGAGCAGGTTCGCGTTCTTGGAGACCTTCGTCAGGCTCACTGCACTACAGATCTTACAGGGGAGACTGCTCATCTTTCTCTCAAAAAGTGACTGGTAGATTCAAACTGCTAAGCTTGCAGCACAACACATAACAAACACACTTTGCCACCAGAAGTTTTTGTTTTACATAAATCCTCCCAACATCTGTTCTAAGAATATCTGCTGTTTATAGGAGAGGAAACGGAGGCACAGAGAGGTTAAGTTATTTACCCAAAGTTTCTCAGCTAATAAGTCCCAGAGTCAAGACTCGTACTCAGGCATTCTTCCTCCAACATTTCACCCTAAATGGACATACGATGAAGGATACAGGGAAAAAGGAATCTGCCACCTGCCTGCCACTTCCCTGAGTCCTGTCCTGGCTTTTCTGATTTCTGAAAAAGAGGCCTTAGATCTAAGGACCTCCATGTCGAAGCAATGTGCCAGAGGGCTGTTGTGTTTGGGAGGACAATGACTGAGAGAGGCAAAAAGGCAAAAAGTTACAAAGATTCCCATGAGTACTGTTGTAGGACAGGCTTAGTGGAACTTACAACACCTAAATTTGAGAACTGTCTAGGGTTTATATTTTTTAAATAACCCAGAACAAGTCATTTAACCTAGGCTATTCCATTATATTCTCCACTCACAGCACACACTCACTCGCTTGTTGTGCCAAGATGAAACCAACTCATAGTTGACCCTCCATTAGGATGTCATACTCAGAAGGGTGGAGGGACAGTACAGGAGAGGAAGACCCCGTATGAGTGTCGGATACAGTAACTGGGGCAATGGGTGCAGGTGTGTCGGAGTCAGTGAGTCTGGCTGAGGGCAGGGCAGGCTTCAGGGCTGTTGTATAGGTCTCAGGAGACTCAACAGCACATAACAACAAATTATATGGGTGGAAATTTCTCATCTTTTCCCCACAGTCACTGGGTAGATTCTAACTGCCAGGGAGTGTAGTCTTTGTGTAAGTGCAGTTCCCCACCAGTCAGAAGGCTCTATGGTAGAGAGATCAAAATAACGATAGTAACTGTCTGACAGACATCAGGAAATTGTAAGGAACAAGTGAGATAATGCATGCAAGTGCAAACTGTTTCCTTATTGTCACCATTGGTTTTGGTTTTATTAGACTTCCAACCCCTATGGAAAAAAGGCACATTTTCTCTTCTCCTCTATTCCCACCTTTCAAAGCCTTAGAAGTTAATTAGATGTTTGATTAACAGAGTTTTTCCAAATCCAAACAAATGCCATCCATATGTATAAGTTATTGTGAGATAACATAATCTTCTAAAATAAATAAATCCATCAATCCTATGAGGATGAGGTTTAGTGTTAAATGACAGATTCAGGAGTCAAGTTATTGGTAAAAATGAAAATTTAAGGAAGATTTTATTTGAGAGTAAAGTAAGCCTGGTCCTCAAGCACAGATACCAAGAACTTCAATTTGAGAAAACTAGCAATCTCGTTTTCTAGGACTTATGAGAATTGATTTTAAAAAGAATAAAAAGAAGGATTGCGCCCTTGAAAGCAAGAATAAAAAGAAGGATTGAGCCCTCGAAAGCTGTCTCTTGCACAAAGATGGGCTCTTTCAAACCAAGAGTAAAATTGTGATTGGACCTCGTGCCTTCTTTTGTTGGCATGGGCTCTTGCCTTCACGATGATGGAGACTCGATAGAATTTAAGGTTTGAGAAATACCAATTAAGTAGGGGTATTTACAGATGGAAACAGGGAACCCTGGTGGAAGAGCACATTTAGAGTACTGATTCGGTTGCCAACCGATAGGTCAGCAGTTCAACTCCACCATTCTCTCCTGAAGAGAAAAGTGGGCAGTTCCTTAATGATTTACAGCCTTAGAAACTCAGTGGAGTTGAAACCAACCAGGCAACAGTAGCTTTGGGTTTGGATTTATGGAAGCACCTGGAGCTGTGGTGCCCACCAGTTGTGGTCATTTCTGGTTGAAATTGGGGTACTCCACCCGACATGCTGATTATGGCCAGCTCTGATGCTGCCCTTTCTCCTCACATCTCATTTCTTATTTCCATGTATTTCACTATCACATCATAAATCAAGATAATCTTCAAGTCCCAGCATATTCCTGAAGCTGACAGATGAGGAGTTGACTTTAAAACGGAGCAAAGAAGAGCTCATCATTGGGAAAGAGCATGAGAAAATCCCCCGAGTGGGTAGGCACTGACTACAGCTGCCAAACATCTGGAGGGAGTAAATAGGTCTGAGAAGGCTTATTCGGTAGACTCTGGAGGCTAAATGGTTAGATAGATTCTTCACCTTTACACAGATAATTTGGATCACTTATAAGTGAATCTAAAGCTAAAAAAAGAAAAAAACAACCCACTACTCTCAGAGCTGTCTCATTTCGTCCTCCTCTATCTAAATAGCCTTGATTTCTAACTTGACACAATACAAAGTACATTCAAGAATTAAAATTGGCCCGTGTCTAAGGAAAGTTCATGAGAGGTGGCAGATGTGTGACCGGTAATAGAAACATTTACAGTCACAAGTCATCTGCAAGAACATCTTGCCACGGTTTGCCTTTACAGATGAAAAACTAAGGAACCACTACATCACTACCCCTTCTTGTTGTTCTTGAGGATGGGAGGTGCACTTTGCATGTATGTTTTAATTAAGAAAATGAAATATACAGAGCTCCCCGGCTGAAGAGTCACTGAATTTGGTGTTCAAGTGCATTAGGTAGGGATGCTGGCTTTATGAACAGAGAACCTTAGTCAGAATCCCTTTGGCATCTACCAGCTGCACTGCACCAATGCACCCATTTGCTAAAGCAGTTTTGCAAAACAAGGTATTTGTCTGATTCTATTTATCCCCAGCCCCAAATTATCAAGTGACTGTCCAATGTTAACATTTCTATAAAACTTTATAGGGTGACCCCCTGAGTTGCCTATTACCCAGAAATCAGTGTTTAGAGCAATCATGTTCTCTGCATTAAAATTGGGTTTCTCTCTGAAATCTCTAGAACAAAACAAAGAGATCCTTTCTCTGGCCACCTTGTCTCCTACAACCCCCCAACAAAGCTCTCAGTCCTTGGCACTCTTCTCTCTCCAGGGTCCTGAGGAGAGAGACTCTGAAAGAAACCCCACCTCCCACCTCCCCCTTCTCTGTTTAGTAGTTATCAAAACGCCAATGAAACAAGAGCAGTTGTGTTTTGTTCTCATTCTTTTTTTTTAAGCACAAATAATACATCTTTCAATATAAATATACATTTCCATGAAAAAATAGAAAAAGAAGTACTACAGTCTTGGACACTTTTGCAGGAGGATCAGATTTCAAAGTTTACAGAGTCTGAGGTCAGGACCTCCAGAACTATCATCCTTTTAGCCTCTAGCTTCTAGGACACATTCGCATGAGAAAGAAATTCCTTGATCTACAAGCAAATCCTTCCAGACATGATCGAAAACAGGCAATTTAAGTTAAGCAGTTGGTAGATGGGAATTAAGGTTACTGAAATGTACTCGAATTTGATCCAAAGAATACATCTGCATCCATGTGCACACATAACACTCTGTCAGCTTGCAAAAATATATCAGATTTCTGAAATCTATAACGGTTTCTATCAGTTAATAAATTACTTGCACGTTAAAAGAGCCACAGAAGTTCAAGTTTGTATTCTTCTGATTCAAGTGTGAAAGGCACAGCAGTCCCGAACCAGAGGTGCACCCATAGCAACCACACTCCAAGCTGGGCAGGGTGCAAGTAACCAGGGCTGGAGCCTACCGCAGAGTCCCCAGAAGTCTGTCCCAGTGCGTGAAGTAGGGGGCGAAGTTGCAGGTAAACTGAGAATGGTGCAGGTCGTGGTGCACCACGCCTCCGTACAAGCCGAAAGGCACCAGCCTGTGCGTGGACCAGGGGAAGTCGTAGCCTGAGTGGTCTTCCACCGACAGCCAGATGTTGACCACATGGAACGCCAGCACCGTCAGCGGGTGACACCCGAGCAGCGTGACGTTCACCGTGTCAAAGAGGCCCAAGGAAAACAGCTCCCAGAGGCTCATGTACTGCGTAGCCAGGGCGAAGGAGGGCGGCTTCTGGTGGTGCACTTTGTGGAAGGTCCGGTACAGCCAGGGCACCTTGTGGTGCAGCGCGTGCCAGGCAAAGAACTCGGCGTCAAAGAGCAGCAAACAGAGCAGAATGTGGCACACCAGCTCCAGCAGCTCCGGGGCATCGGTGGGCAGGCGCGGGGCTCGGCTGGCCCATTGCAGCAGGGTCAGCGGGAACACAAACACCGCGTACTGGTAGAGCGTCTGTCCCAGGGAGGGCAGGAGCTGCTGCACTGACGGCGAGAAGTCTGGGTGGATCTTGTAGCGCCGCAGCGCTGGCGTCCAAGGAGACAGCGCATCCAGCACCACGAAGGGCAGGCAGAAGCCCAGGTACGTGGTGAGGCCGAAGATGATCGGGAAGAAGGGCGACTGGATGAGGACCCTCGTGCGGTCCCAGAGGGGCTGCAGGAGCAGCGGGCCGGAGCCGGAGCCCGCGCCGGGCTGCAGGAACGGGTGCGCGGAGCAGTTGGCGGCGCTCATGGCGAGACGCTGTCGGGCCTGCTGCTCCCGCTCGCTGCGCGCTGCGCTGCTTAAAGCCCAGTGGCCCCGCCCCGCCCGCCGCCCCGCCCTCCTCAGGCCCCCAGCACCGCGTTCTGTACGGAGGAGGCTGGAGAAGGAGCTGGTGGTGACGCGCAGACCTGCCTCTGTGCTTTGCTGACTCTGTGACCTTCTTGCCCCGCACCCTCCACCTTCTCCATCTCTACCTCAAAACCACCGAGACCAGCTCCGCTCCGTGGAGTTTTTCCGCTCCACTGAGTTTCTCCCTCTGCCAACAGGACTGAAAATTGGAGGTGCTACTGGGAGTGCTCTGGGGAGCTCCTGGGACAAGAGAGAAAATAATTTCTGCTTCTGACCGTCTGCCTGACATGCGATTTATAAATGAGAAAGATTTGGGATGAAAAACTTAAAATCAGGGGCCACTCCTAATCCTTATGGGGCTGGGACAAGCGCTTCACTCTGCAAAACTTCCTTTTCCGTATGCCCTCAAGTGGGGATCAAAATAGCAGGCATCTCATAAGACTGTTGTATTAAACTTGATAGTAGTAACAATAATGACGGAATTCTGGCGGGTTAGTGGTAAGGAGCTGCCAATCCAAAAGCGTTTGAATCCACCAGCTGCTCTACCAGAAAAAGATGGAAAATCAATCTCCTTTTTGTGCGACTTACTGCCTCTAAAAACTCTCTGGAAGGCCAGCTATGAGTCAGTTCTGATTCAACAATGCACAGCCACAACAACAACTGTAACATTACCCCATAACAGCTGCCAGTGGCCGTATTGTACTTATGAAACCTAAGGGTCCATTGACATGGAATCAGAATCCTCATTTCTCTCCCCCCCCCAGTTAAGAAGGAGGTATTATTATTATTATTAACTGTAATTTTGTACAAGTAGGATAGTGCCTAGCACATAGTAAGCCTATGAGGAGACATGTATTGTTTTAAATCTGCACTTCACATTTTATCTGCAGAATAATAGAAGTCTCCAATAAAAATAAAAAAATATCAAGTAAAGAGAAAATTATGAAAAGCCACATACAATGAGGAAATAATAAGTACAACAAAATATCAGCCTAGAAATATAGAACATCTAATTGGACCATTAATTGTTAATGGCCTTCATTTTAAAACAGAAAACTTACAGTAGCCAAATCAATTCTGACTCAGAACAACTCACCAGGAGTTTTCAGAGGCTCAGAGCTCTCTGTCCAGAAAACGGAATTGATCTGCACTACCAGTAAAGGATTCTGGATATTTCTTAGAGCACCTCAGAAAATGACCTCTAGTCCTAGAGTAAAATGTTTTAACTCTAGTACGCCATACAAATATTACTATAATCAGATATTTGTCTTAATGAAGAAAAGTTTGGAACTCACCACCATTTTTTTCTCCCTCAGTTAGACAACCTGTCCTTTCTAAGCTTCTCCCCAAAATCAGTCACCACCCTCACCACCACCATCGCTACCTTGTTCTAATTCTATATCCACTTCACTTTTAGGACAACTTGAAAACTTTCTTCTTTCTTCTACATGTAGAAATGGGTCTGTACTTGAACTATATGTGTCTCAGATAATATTGTACAAGAAGAAATGCTTTTTCTTCTTCAGTCTTCGAGGCCTCACATCTTCTAAGGAACTATTACAGTTTAATTTCTCAAACTTAGAAATGAATTCTACTCTTAATTGAAATATCATTTAAACTTTCCCTCAACAGAAATCAAGTCAGCTCTCAAGTCTGGTTTCATCCCACAGGGTCTTTTTCTTTCAAAAGCTTTCACAGATTTTTTTTTAACTGGACAGCATTAGTGGGTTTGCTTTGTTGGGCCCAGCTATTAGATTTAACTCTCGGACTGACTGTTTGGAACCCCCAGCCCCAACCAGCCTATTATTTACCTTCTTTGGCTTCCATGTTCTGCTTCTAAATCTATTAAGATAGTCACTATTAACAGATGCAATAAAGCCAATGCTAACTTACAGCCACTTTGTGCATACCAAAATAAAGCTGTCTGGTCCTATGACATCCTCACAATGCTTGCCAAAATGCATAACCCAAAATAGGTTTTTTACAGTCACTTAAAAATCATTGATCCAGGGGTTCTTGGTCACAAGTCTGGAGTTACGCCTAACGGTTGTTCCTCTTTATACAGCCAGTCATAATCTGTCTGCTACTACTTTTTGAACCCTGTTTGTTTCATATGTGGATAAAGTTTGTATCTTCCAGGCTCCACGCATTCCATGCATCCTAACCTTGTACCTGTAAATTCATTTCGCAGAGTAACCAGAGCATTTAGGGCCGTGGAGAGATTCAAAGCCCCTGTAATCAGGAACACCCCTGCCTACAACTCCAGCATGAAGCAGCAAGAGCAGTCATTACCCAAAACCCAACCCTAAAATATTTTAGAAGCTCAGTCTCTGGGGGAGAAGGAATGTTAGGATTAGATCCAAAAATATAAGAGTGGCAAAAGTTACATGAACCATCAACACCAGGAAGCAGATATTGGCATGCATAGAATTTGTGTTTTGGGTGCATAAGTGATATGAGAAACAATGGATGCTTTGGGCAAATGAATGATGTCAGAGAACAGTGACCAGAATGTGAACAACTCACTAAACTTTGAACTCTCCATGGCACCTTTTCATTGGCCCCAACTCTAGTCCCAAGACCCACTGAGAGGAGGTAGCCGTAAATATAACCTCACCTCACTGGCTGGCTGCCTCGTCCATATTTCCTTTTCAAGGAGCAATGTCCATCCCATTGGGACATAATTTTTCTAATAAAAATAAATATATATTACGTTTGTTGTTGTTATTATGTGTACTGTCAAGTCTGAACCAACCTATACCTGACCCTCTAGGTTTTCAGAGGCAGTTTATCACTTGGGAGGAGATTGCCTATCTTTCTCCATGGAGCAGTTGGTGGATTCAAACCACATACATTTGGCATTGCAGTGCAGCTTCTTGCCACTAGGCCACCAGTGATTAATCCATTACAATAAGGCTCTTCCTGTTTTGTGCAGAGCTGCTACCATACCAGGCCAGATGTCCTCTAGGGACCAGCCTCTCATGGTTATATTCCCAAAGCACATACAAAGTCTCATCGTCCTTCTAAGAATCATTCTGACTATTCCTTACAAGAAAGTGTGGTTCATTCTTCCAGCAGTCAGTGGTGTTTTCAATATTCTTTGTCAACACCATAACTTAACTGAATCAATTCATCTTCTGTCTTCTTTATGCACTGTCCACATATGTGCATGTTTATGAGGCAACTGAAAAACCTTGTGACTTGGAAAGTGAAATCTCTGCTTTTGCAATACATTAAGCACAACACTAAGAAACAGTCATTGAGGCCAGTTAATAAAGTACATCTGGAGTAAGACCTGGACACCCTAACTCCAGCATTCGTCCAGGCTGCCACAGCACACTATGAGTTCAAAAGATAGCTGCAGACTCAGTGATCATTTTAAAAGACAGTACTTCTAAATCGAGGCTGAAAAATCAGAATGAATTATTTGAAGCACTAACTGATGTAACTTAGGGCTATTTATCAGGGAGGGGAACCCTGGTAGCCGAGTCCAGAGGCAGTTGTGCTGACAGCCCAAAAGCTGTACCTTTTTGGTGGTCCAAATCCACACGGCTCCTTGGAAGAAGGATGGACAATGCCCCGTGCAATTTAAAGCCTCACAGGGTCAACAATGACTCAGTTCCCACTTGGCCACAGTAAGTGAGGGTTTTTTGAGATCCACAGGGATGGTTTTCCATAGAAGGAGGTATTCACTAATTTCATATGGCATAGAGTAGGATTACACTATTTCTTACACTTTTTTTTGTACTACACTACCTACACTTTTTTATAAGACACTATTTCCAATACTTCTCCTGTTGGTCCTAACTTCCTGTTTTGTCACTGCATGATCTTAGCATGGTGAAGGCTAGAGAACAAGACTGGGATAATTGGGATGGGAGTGTCAGAGACAGTGCGATTGGCACAGGACAGAGCGGAGTTTAGGGCTGTTGTACATAGGGTCGCTATGAGTCATAAGCGACGGCACATAACAACAACAACTCGCTATTGATTTACTATAGAGTCAGAACTAACCTACAGCTGACCTCCAGCGGGTTTTCAGAAGCAATTAATCACAGGAGCAGAGATTGTGCATCTAAGAGTCAAATCATTCTTCTGAAAGTGTAACAGTAAAAAAATGTTTTTAACACAGTCTCAAAGTTACTTGGTACTGACTCATCCAAGAGCTTCAGATACTCTCTCCACCCTCAATATAAATAAGGAAATAAACAATATACTTTAAAAACCACTACCAAAGATACAATCTCTTCCTTTCTCTATCCTTTCCTTCTCCTTTCTGTCTCTCACTAAATCACCTTTGTGATAGCTTGCTTTTCTTTCTCTTTCCATATTTAGATGAAACTTTTTTTCTGGTTACATATTATAATCTCTCATTGCCTTACTCTTTTTTAAATTATTATTATTAATTTTAATAAACATTTACAGAGGTTTTGGATTTCCATTCATTCATTGCCGCACTTTTCTCCCTGCCCACCCCTCCCCACCAGTTCACTCCCCTCTCTGAAAAGAAAAAGAAAAAAAATTCCTTCATTGGTATACAATTCCCACGTCCCTTCCCCCCATCCCCCACCCTGAGTACACTTCTCTATGCAACCTTAATTCTGAATTCCTGTGCTAACCATAATACTCAATCATATACTGTTTTCTCATCAAACTGGAAAGATTCCTGGATATCAGACAGGTGCATTGGCCATGTTATATAACATGTAAGATTCACTGGGGCAGGGTGGGGGGTGAGGTAAATCACAAAGCTCAAAAATCTAATCTTTAATTTGAAAGAGAAAGATTCTGTTTCCAAAAAGTCAACATTAATGGCCAAACTAGGGATAGAAACTGATTAATAGCAACTTCACAGAATGTATATAAAAGGAGTGAGGGATGGGAAAGGGTCACTGAAGATG